AATAAAAATTATGATAATTATGATATGTTTACACAGCCTGGCAATGTTGCCTGCCACTACTATGTTGCCTGCCACTACTACTGATGCAAGTCATTCTAGCTGAGGTCACAATGAGGTGCTGAGCCAAGTGATTGATGCTGAGGAATTTACTGCTATTCCAGTAATATAATTCTCTATAAAATTGAAAACTACACTACCTATGATGGCTACACTCAGTTTCTCAGCTTAATACTAGATAAGCCAAACATCTGTGTGTATTGTTGGCCTTTAAGATGTATGATAATCTCTCAACTTTTGCATCCTCAGGTAGGGAAGAGAAAGTTTACTCAGATTCTTAAGGGTAGCTTTTTCTTACCATCCTGTGATTATGTACATAACAAAACAGCAGTTAAAGAAAACTTATAGAAAAAAGAGTTTTACTCAAAATGTAAATAATTAGAGCAGTATTTACCAACTGGATCTTTTTGACTCTGAAACAGTATTTTGCTGTTGCTGCCATCCATATTTGCCATATTAATAGTGTTTCCATCCGTCCAGTAAAGTTTCCTTAACAATAAGCAAACAAATATCAAGACCATGATATATTAAGAATAACTACAACATTGACAAAGAAATCTGTCAAGAAGATTACATTTTGGCTTAACTACAATATCCTATGACAATATCCTTGTCTAGCTGAAGCTATGGTGTGAATAGAATGAGTCCCACTCTGCCAGAAGGTCTCTCCTGTAGCAAGTGGTACTTCCTAAAGCCTTTTGGATAATCAGCTCCTGGAAATTGGACTGCACAATTATTTACATTTTAAAAAAAATCCAAATTTAATTGTAGAAGGATTAAATTAGCTCTTTGAATGTGCACTACATTTTTATAGAAATGCCACTATATTAAGTACCATGTTTAGGTTTGTTGTTGCTGTTGTTTGCCATCAAATCATTCCTGACATATGGCAACTCTAGGCCAAACCTATTACATGATTGTCTTGGCAAGATTTCTTCAGAGGGGGTTTGCCTTTGCCAGACTCTGGGGCTGAGAATGGCAAAGTATGTGGCTTGCCCAAGGCCACACAGTGGGTTTCCATGGCTGAGTGAGGCCTTGAAACCTGGTCTCCATAGTCAAATACTCAAACCACTATACCTCTATATTTAATACAATATCCAGGTTTGCAAACATGTTAAATTGTTATGCCTCATTTCTAAATAAAGGATTTAAGAATTTCCAGCCACACATATATGAACTTTCTTACAGGGAACCAAATTTATTTATTTATTTATTTGGATAAACAGACTAAGGAGCTTAATGCTCTGCTAAAATAAAGCATCTAACCTCTCTCAAATTCAGTTCTAATTCAGATGGCATCCAGATACTATCGCAGGGATTTTGCCACCAAATCTGCTGGCCAAATACAGCCCGGATCTCTGGAGAGCTGAGCATGCCTCTTTTCCAAGCCATGGGTTTTCTGACTTAAGAAAATGGCCACCAGAGTGCTCCTGGGACCAGGGCTGGACCCGGGCTGTATTTGGGCATCAGTTTTAGTGGCAAAATCCCTGCGATAGTATCTGGACGCCACAAATTAGAATTTAATTCAAGAGAGGTAAGACACTTTATTTAGTGGAGTGATAAGCTCTTAAGAAGGAGAGACCACTTTCAATTCCATCTGATACCATCCAGCCTCAGAGGGAGAGAATCAGACCCAGCTCCATCAGGCCAAGCCAGAGTAAGAAAGAGAGCTCTCCCTCCAGTCCATTTGCCACAGTCCAGGCCTTGGAGGGAGGAAAGAACCACTGGACTTATTCCCCTTCCCCACTGCCATTCCCTTCTCCTCTTGTGTCATGTCTTTTTAGATTGAAAACTTGAAGGCAGGAAAGTGTCTAACTAACCATTTGTAAGATGCTCTGAGAGCCTTTGTGGCTGAAGAGTGGGGTATAAATACTCCAAATAAATAAATACATTGTTATAGTTGAATTCAAAATATTATAAAGCATCACTGCCTCTAAATTATGACACATCTTATAACCTCAGAAAAGAATTCAATAAAAAGAGATTCAACCTTGGTTCATAAAATCACTGAAAGCCAGTGCTACAACAGTATGGGAGGAAAATGACTGTCATGTTCTGTGGACTCGGATCTCAAAAACCAAGATATCATTGTTGTGTAAAACTAAAGATTTATTTTGGATTTCAAGACAGACATTCATCACAACTTGGCTGTGTCAGATCTGATTTTTTCCATCCAGTCTACCCTTTGAGAATTCCCTTCTTCTGACAACTGCCGCTAGAATTATATATGCTACTAATTGGAGGAAAAAAATGATACCTAAAATTGATGAATGGATATGGAAGGTATATGAATTAATGGAAAACGATAAGCTAACACAATTGCTACAAAAAAAAACCCTCTTTCTCTTTAAATTCTTCTCTAAGCTTTTGTTCTATTTCTTTAGCTTTACTTTCATTATCTATCTTATATCTTCTTTGTTTATATGAGAAAATTAGTCCTTCTATTCTATCCCATCTAAAAGGGATTCCCAAAAGTTTCAGCAATTGTGTCAAATTCCGATATTTCTGTCTTTCCAGCATAATCTGCAGAGGGACGTCTTTAAAAATCTTAATTTCAACATCTTCAATTATCACTTTGATATCATAACTTTTCTGTATCAATTTCTCTCTTATTCTGGTTCTAGTCCAACATATTATGACATTTCTAGGATATTTTCTGTCTTTAGCCTGGGCAGAGCTAATTCAAAAAATTTCATCAACTTCTCTCTCCAGCTCTACATCAGGAATTTCAGTTAATTTTGCCAAGTCCGGGATTAGTCTAAGTATCAAGTTCTCATTGTTTTTCTCTGGTAAACCTCTTATCTTAGTACACCGTTCTCTATATCTCAGTTCATTTGTCCAAATCATTAATTCTTGTTGTTCTAATTTTTTCCTAATTTCTTTAGAAGCATTTTCCAATACGTTGGTTCTTTCATTTACTTTAATTATTTCCTTCTGATTCTTATTTATATCCAAATTCATTTTTTTCCATTTTCTT